TGGCCAAAAATTGATTATCCATGTTACAGGATCAAAATGCGAATTTGCCCCTGGATTGCCACTTGGCATTAGCTCCCCCACCCTAACCTTACAACAACTATTTGCTATGTTTGCAAGAAGCCTAGAACATCCGTCCACAATGCTCCAACCAAAATTTTGGCAACGCAAACAGCTGCCTCTACGAACATCCTACATTCACTGTGAAGTCTACAACCTCTTGCTCGGGAGGAGCCTTCCTGAAGAAAGCTAGTGATTTGACAACTTACAACTCAAATCACCTCTCTGTAAAGATTGTCTACCAGCACCTCACTTAACCTAGTTTTCCTCCATGTCCCATTACCGTTTAGCAACAATCATTACCATCCAAATGAGCTGTCCTTTGAATATACTCTAACCTTCTGGCCACTTCATAAGGAATTGAAAAGGTAGGACATCAAATATATTGGGAGACTAGAAAAGGTACTCCTGTATAAGTCCTTGTCCCCTTATTGGAATGATAATGTTTCTGAAAACATGGATCTCAAATGTTAGTCCCTGAAATTGCAACCAAATGTAAGCTCAAATAAGCCATAGAAAGAAACCGACTAACATACTGACACAATAGCTAGGAGTCAAATTTAGGTAGTATGCTTTCAGCTCATACAGGCCTTAGTTGAGGATTAATCTCTGCCTCTTGACTCATTTATCTTGAAATCCGCTTTTGGTTATAATCATTGGTAAATTAGTTAGGTACTGTCAACAAGGTATAACCAAAATTATAATGAGCCTTTTAGTGTTGTCTCCTGTAAATTTATCTACTGTCACCTTGGATTAACAAAGTTACACAAAAACAGAGTGCTCAAGTCAGTTAGATGGAATGCTGGTCTTTTTAGATTTGTAACTTCAATATGGATGTCAAATGTAGATTTGTAATTTGATAATTACTCTCCTGCCCCTGCACACCCTTCGAAGCCATATTTTGTGACTTGATACCCACAACCTAATTCTATGGCCACGTCAGAATCTCCCAAGATGCTGTTGGGACCAATTTCAGAGGTATCTTACAGTAGTTGAGCTGTGTACTATTTTCCCCTATTCTATCATAAGTTGCATTCTATCAGGTCTTTGCATTTGTAATTACAATTGTTTAAATGGAAAATGGTTTACTGAAGTTTTGATTGTATGGTAAGGGAGAATCAAAAGTTGGTGTTGTGTCAGTTAAATGAAAGAGATTATCTGCATGAATGTAGCCGTTAGATGAGATAAAGGCTGTATAATTTAACTATTAGGGTTTTCTTGCTGACATTTTCTTTGTGTGTTTCTAGCCTCACAGTCAAGTGTTGGGATGCTGACATGAATCAAAGACCTTCATTCCTGGATATTCTGAAGAGGCTTGAAAAGATCAAGGAAAATCTTCCGGGAGATCACCCCTGGAACATATTCACTACATGATAATGAAAAGAAATGAAGACAAATGCCGTGTGTGCTCTCTTTGCTTGTCATATCATGAACTCACAATTGTGCAGATATTGTGGATAGAGCCAACTGATTAAAGCTTGTGAAAGTAATGGCTATTATTTGATTTCACTCTACTTTATTCATCTTGTCAGTATGAAGAGAGTAGGTAAACCTGTAGTTTATTCGTCCTCTACATTTCTGTTTTCTTCATCTTAGAGCAATGAGTTTCATTCACATTGACTTGTATAAAAATGTCTCATTGTTTGAAGAAAATTTGTCTATGAACTTTATTTTTTTTTAAGATCAAATGTTTGATAGAGTAAGCATTGACAATAAATAGATTCGGATTTGTCTTTTTCTCACGAATGCCAATTTGTATCATGAACTAGCTTTGATCTTGGAGAAGGCACTCCTTTTTGGGTATTCACCTTGTTGTAAGCAGTTGATGTTTTACCTGTTCGGTCATGCATTTGCAGGAACAGTTGCTTTCAAATTAGACAAACGTGGATGAGGACATCGAAAATTGAAGTTTCTCTTTTTATTTATTGGGACTTCTTTAGGTCACAAATTTTAAGATCTAAGTTTTTTCTCAATCTGGGTTATTTTTCTTGAAAAAGAAGGGTTATTTTTATTAAAAAAGAAGGATTATTTCTATGTAACTCTTTTTGAACTCTATACTTTAAACTATCGAAAGATAAAATTACATTACAAGATACCAAAAAATTTGATTTTGAAATTTAGAGATATATTACTTTAATTCCATATAGAATTCCTCTCCAGATAATTTCTATAGATCTCCAAAAGTGGACTTACGAATTAAAAAAAAAAACATTAATCAAGTACCTAAAACAAAGTACTGAATATAATTCAGAAAATCCCTATCATACTTGCTACCAGACAATTATTTTCTTTTCCAAGTAGATTTTCAATAATCTAATTTACAAAAGCAAAGACAAGCGAAATTGTTCACATTGTTAAAAGAATAAAAAAATATATATTAAATGAGCTTCTTTTTCTCGAAGAAGGTCTTCAAGTGCCATATTTGCAAGCCGGCAACAGACAAGCAAACAAAAAGTGAAAGGAAACTCAACCAAGCCATTCTGGAGTTGGTACTTCGGTTCAGTTCTTGCATTTCTTCTTCCCTAGAACCAGCACCGAGAATGACTCAATATGTTAACATTTTTTTAAAGATCAATATACCATACCCAACCAGAAAATCATTGATGGAAAAAAAATCATCTCTCTTAATCATGAAAGAAGAGAGATTCTATTCCTTTTTTACCTTTCCCGGAGATAAAACATCTCTTCATGAATGGAAGCGACCATATCCTGCAGCTTCTTAAGCTCAATTTCCATTACCTGATTAAAATTATAATAAAAGCATTAGATCCTTTCTTTAAACAATCCTCAAATGTAACTATTAATACTATTTCCACGTAGATGTTTGTCTGTGTAATGCGAGAAGAGTTGCTTCAAACGTAAAAAAACATTGCATTCCTCTCAGATGATTGGTAACATAACAGCAACAATGTGCAAATAGCAGCATCCTATTGATACACAATTTATGAGAAATCAAGAATCTACCTACTGGCCTCCTTATGTATGCTATGTATCTCAATGAAATATCAACAATATGAATGGTGAACAAAAAAATCCACCAGTTAACAAGTGATCTTTCTATGTAGTAGAAAAGAATTGACTACATCAAGCATATATTTCCAACTCCCAATAGAAGCTTTGCAAGTTGTTGTACGCTTATGCTTCCATGTAGTTAATATTATCAAGAATTCCATTTTCGGCCATCTAAAGAACAGAAACCAGACCCCAAGTCCCTCCTCTCCCCACCAAAAAAAAAGCTGTTGCCACTCATAGGATTTCAGAACCATAACCAATAGGTTCGGAGAAACTCTTACAAAAATTAGAATTAAAATTTTAGGGAGTCAAATTTGTATGCTTAATCATATTTGAGCAGACAGCTACTGGTTGCAAGGTAGAACTAAAAATGAAAAGTCATCCCAACAGCACGTACACACCAAGGTGCTGGCAGGTTCTATAATTTCTGCAAGGGGATTTAGTTCTGTACTTCTCTTGTTGGGTGATTAGGCCGGTTCTTACCCCATAGCAACCAGAAGATCAGTACAAAAAAGGATAATGCTTTTCTCCAAAAAAGAGTTGTTGTCCCATATTAGCAGGCTTATTCCATCTTAGTGTCTGTCTGGAATAGCCATTGCTGTTAAGAAAAACTGAGACCCAATGAGAATTTGTGCATAGCTTCTGGTCTTTGACATCAAAAAAGAAGGTTGTAATAACGAAACGGACATGCGAGAATTTGGTAACTATAAACGAATATGTCATCAAGGTTTTCCGCAACAAACTGGTCAAGCTAATATGCTGCCGTAAAACATAAAGTAAAAGAAAGGAATCGAACTGAATTGTTAAGCCAAATGAGATCAGTCAAGTTTCGTGCTTCTTACTTTAGAAACTTTAGAAAGATTGCAGCGTTGGGAAAGAACTTCTCCTTTTCTATGAATCTACAACTCTTTCTAAATCAACTGCTCCTCCAGAGTGACTGGTAATACCACTTAAGGGCAAATAGACCATAATTGATTCAATAGACGGTTATCCATAATCCAGTCTGCAAGATATTTTCAATTAGGAATTATACATATCATGCCACTAGCTCATCGGACAATTTTTGACACTCATCTGCCTCAACTTGTAAGGCCAAGGACCATTCAAAAATGGAGATTGTGTGGATCTAGATTTGACACTGGCGCCACCATTAGTAGGAAGCCAGCAAGTGCCTTTAGTTGCTGTGCCTGGGATAATTTTGCTTCGTGAAGAAAAAGTAGCAAGGAATTAGCTCTTTTCCTCTTTCTTTGTCACAAGCATGAGTAGGACTTACAGTCTTGGGGAAGTTACCCAGGACTCTAGGTCAGAAGATGCCTCCTTATCAATTGAGTGACATAAAGAACCAGCCTTTTCCCAGTCCGAGGAAGCCCAACGAGGAAGGTCTTAGTGGTTTCTCATTGGGTCAATAATGCTAATCGAAATAAAATATAAATAAATAAACATGGCCATGGTATATTGGGCCTGACAGACCTGAGGCAAAAGAAAAGAGAAGTCATAAAAAGAAAGGTTATTTCATGCAGTGCATGATGGGCAGTAGTCATATATGTTTGGTAGGTAGACGTCACTTTATCTGAGGGCTCAAGAATGATCCAAGTGCGGCCGTTAGGCACCCTTAGATGAAAGAGTGGTCTTTCAGGAGTGGTCATTGCATTCACCACCTCCCATTGAGGTTGAGTAAAGAATTGAAGCTAGCAGTCTCTCAAGTTCACCGCCGATGCCCGGTGCCAAAGAATCCATGGAATTGACTTTTTCGTTGCATTACGAGTCCAAAAAATTAGCCTTATGAATGGATCTTACATGGGGGGGCATTCAAAGAAGCTATGCACCTTTACTGAGTGTTAATGAAAGCAAGCCCTTTAATCAAATCTCATCTACTTCAAAGTGGGGCGGTCTCATATTTTTTTATCTTCTTGTAAACCCTCAGAATTTTTTTTTTGGTTGTGCAACCCAGAGAGAATGATGACTTTCTGGGCCAACCAACCCGGATCTGCTCACAAACCAGGAGATCTGGAGGCTGCATGTGCCTGCCCATCATCAGGGAGTAAATATTATAAGCGCACACAGCCGTCAGGAAACCCCTTTACCAAGGGATGACGTGGTCTCCAACCAGATAGGCTAATTGCAGTCTTGTAGATGACAGCGGAGCTCCTCCATTGGGAAGAGCTGTTGGTTGGGGCACAAACTCATGGCTGATGTTGGTTGTCTAAATCTGCCTCTTCCACTTCTTGCTATAGTCAGTAATTCCCTCTAATCTCTCGCATGCTTTTTTTGAGTGCTAGTTACCAAATGCTGCTATCTACCCACCAGCTGGAAGAATCATTCGGCCACTTGGCTGGTGCTCCTTTCTCAAACTAGAACTACTCTGAACGTTAGGGAAGATAAGAGATTGATAAACATCAGAACTCGAGCCAACATAAATAGTCTTGAAGAGTACTGGTCAGATAAAAGAAGCACTGTTTTAGGTTTGAAAGCTCAGGACAGGGCAACAGGGGCATAGATAGGAATGCTGGACAAAACTATAATCCTCGAGCCATTCTGCTAATTTTGAGGCCTGATATTCATTACATTAGTCTTCAATTACATAATTTTCAGTCAACTCTCAGATGAAATGTTTCCTACTTCCTATTTGCACCTGACTTTTCCTGCCACAGAAACTGTACATTGCATACCCGCAAGTATGCTTATTTTCTATTGGCAACATGCAAGATCATCACTTATATATGGGAATTTCGTTCATCTCCCGATGACTCCTAAATCATGAACCCAAAGTCTAGGCAGGTAACCACATTGGGTCTGCAAAAGTATCCATTCCCGATATATATCCTTGCTAATTTTGGTCCTTACCTAAAAAGGAACGACAAATTCCTTTTGCTGTAGTAACCAAGCGAAAAGCAGAATTGTGTCCTTGGTGGCAACATCTAGATTGACACACCCAAAACATGGCATTATCCAAACCTTTTTACTATTATATACTACTGATAAATATGATACAGAGTGCAAATATGCAATTCCTACAGCTAATATAAACAAAATATCGACCGAGTTAACATTGTATGGAGTCAATGAAACAAAAACCACGAAATCTCTGAGTCCTTAACCTTCAAAATATCAAAATTCTAGCCTCTTCTTTGACCAGGACCGCTTAAGAGATTTCAATCATGGATCACGTTTGGCTAACAAGTTCCCTAACCCAATTATCGTTATTTTCCGACATACCTTTATCCTATCCTTCTAAGTCCGAAGTTTTGGATCCTCTTAGGCACTAGCTTGAGCGCTTGATTTCACTTAAAACAAAAAGTAACACTCAACAATTCCAAAAAAATCCATTAGAAAAAGACTACAAAATAAACATACTAGCAAGTAACTAAGCGGGAAGAACTTACATCAACTTGGCCCTTTTTGGCAACATTAGACCAGTCCTTGGCTTGTACACCAGTCTTCCAGTCAAAATCAACAGTCAACGTGATATCCGGTTTCTGATCAAGGACCCAAAAGCAGGCCATATAATCCCCATCCTCCGGCGCCGTGAATGCGAACTGCCCAGATTCCACATGATCCGCTTGGTGATAGGTGTTCCCCTGTGTCGATGTGACCTAGATACACACATGCGTATATATACACTTTAACAGAAGGGAAAACGAAAAAAGAGATGGGTGAATCGATGGAGTGAAAAACGTACCCTGACGGTGAGCTTATGGGTCTGGGGCAAGACGGTGCCTTCGTTGGGGTTGACTATGCTGTACTTGCCTACAGTCATGGAGTTGGTCTTCATATCTTCGGCGATGCACTTGGTATGACCCGATTGCAGTTCGAAGCGGAGTGAATGCGTCGCAGGGGATAGAACCCCTAGGATTGCGAGAAGAAGCAGCAGTTGGCTCGACCGAAGAATCATAGTTGAAGCTCGCAACAGGGAAAGAGAGGGAGAGAGAGGGTTTCGTGGATGCTTTCAGCCAAAGATCGAAGCGAAGCGAAGGTAAGGTAGTGATCGGGGTTCACGTGTGCAGGTAAGTAAGAGACGAAAGAGGTCAAACGTGGGACACGTGTTTCTTTTTTATTGGGTCAGCCACGTAGTTTACAGCCTCCAACGTAGCTGACTAGACTTGACACCGCCGTAATAGATTTAAATCCTAATTTGTAGGCCTTCTGTAATTTTTTTTTTTAACTTTAAAAGGTTCAACGTATATTACTTATTGTTTGTAACTTAATAATAAATAATTATAATTCAAAATTCATAATTTAATAACTAATAACTAAATAATATATATAAAGTTTCTGTGTAATTTTAAAACATGTAAATAAATTTATATTATATTTTTGTTTCTAAATTAATCTTTTTAAAATCGTTATTTAGTTAGTATTAAAATTTTATAATATTCAATGCAATGTGTTAATAATTTTATAAAAAAAATTTGTGTAATATTCACATTGGCTAAAAATAAAAAGTTACAAAACATGAAGCTCCTATTGGCAAAACCGAGATGGAATGAAGAAGTGCTTGGATCCCCTTCTTTCTCTTCCATCTCTTTCTTTCACCCCATTGTCTCTCCCTTCTCATTTTGTCTCTCTTTCCTATTTCAGAACCAACGTTTGGTGTTTTGTTTCTTTAAATGTTTATGGTTACCCACATTGAAGACAAGGAGAAAGAGGCATAACTAACAGCTTTCATGCAAAATTCACTCATATAGCCAATAGTTTTGCGTCAACAAAATTTAATTTTGTTTTACGTGTTATAATAGAAATTAAGATATAGATGAATTTTTACTTGATGAACTAGAAAGCTCAGATGGTGCATAAAGAGAAGTTGAAACAAGAAGATTATGATGAACAAGTGTTGAAGGCCTCAACTGTTGATCATAATGCGAATTCAAAAGCAAATAGAAGAAGAAATTAAAGATAAGACAATTGGAGGAATCAATAATAACAATTACATTCTCAAATGAGAGGACGGGGAAGAGGTAGAAATCATTTAGCCACTTCTTGAGTTAGCAGTCAAATCAATGTGAACGTCATCGATACCATATGTATGGATAATATTAAACTGAATATAAAATTAACCTATTTAATGAAAATTTAAAAAAAAATTACAAAAAAGTATTTATCTTTATTAATAGTTTGTTATGCTAAAGAAGAAATCAACAAGAACTTATGATATTTAAAAAATGATTGCAATAATCATATGTGTAGCGATGTTTTTTCTTTATCTTAACCATGTTAATCAAATATGTTTTTTGATAAAATTAATAAAATGATATTTTTACCAAGGTTATCTTAATTTATGTGATTTTAAGGATACTTTAATAGGAAAAATGTTTTCTTTAGTCTTCCAAGTTTTTTAAACTCTTCAAATATTTATGAAGAATGCATTGTTAGCAAACAACATCAAAAACCATTCTCAGAACGCATAATGTAAAAAGTAAGAAAGTTATTAGAGATTACACACTTTGAAATTTATGAACAATCAATCTTGTGTCTAATAGAGGTAAAAGATATATTATCACTTTCACTGATGATTTAAATTGAAAAACCTTAGTATGTTTTTTTACCAGAGAAGTCTGAAGCTTTTAAAGCTTTTAAAAGCTATAAAGTTATAGGTGAGAAAAAACAGGAAGTCCATACAAGTATTATGCACATATCATGGAGGAATAAAGTTCACATGAATTTGTGGATTTTTGTAAAAAACATAACATCAAATGACAACTAACTACGATCTACGCTCTACAATAAAGTGGTATATGTAAAAAAAAGAATTTCGTAATCTTGAATATGGTGAGAAATTAATTACTAAGGAGTAAAGTTCTAAAGAAAATTTGATCAGAAGCTATCAATTGGTACATTCACATTTTTCATATAAACCTAATTCTAATAGTTCAAAATATAATCCTAGAAAAAGCATGAAGTGATAAAAGACCATATGTTAGTTATTTTTAAAATCTTAAGTGTGTTGCTTATGTTCCAATACCAAATGAAAAAAATGAAAAGATTAGATAAAAAAGGAGAAAATGCATTTTTGTTAGTGTTTATATTATCCTAAAGCTTACAAATTATGTAATTCTAACACTATAAAAATGGTATTATTATTAAATTATAACAAAATATTGTTATAATAAATAATAATAAAATGATAAATATGGATAAATTGCATTGTAAGTTACAATTATAAGAACAAAAATCTTTGTAAGATTAATTTTTTAACCAAATAGATCATATAATACATTTAACTTTAGATTATGGTAAAATAAAATAAGTTTAGGCCAACTAATGCAATAATGCTCATATTAATGCCATAATATGTCCAACATGTTTATAATCTTTTTTGTCAAGATTAAATTGTTAGAATATTTATTGAGTCGTATTTTTCAAGAGAAAAATATGATGATTTATAGATATTGATGTGAGTGAGGAGAGGGAAAAAAATTTCTTTAAAGAGAGAATTAGCCAAAAGGGAAGACTTCTTCCTAAATCATATAATATCTTAAAAGAAGAAAAAATCAAATTTCATTCCTTAAAGAACTAAATCTTAGGAAAGATATGTGTGATATCTTTGCTCCTTTAATGACTAGCCTTAATTAACCATATTTACTTCTACTAATTCCTTCATAATTAATCAAAATATTCTCATTTAAAAGAAGAATCTTATTTAGCTTATTCTAGTCAAAATCTTCTTAATTTTCATTATTTTCTCATTCAAAACAAAATTTATTTATTTATTTATAATTTCTACCATTAATTTAGGATATTTATTTACTTGTAATGCACATGATTATAAATAAGTTTTTGTAATCATTTAAGTTTTAGAATAATAAAACTATAAAGTTTTAGTTTTTAACTAGTTAGGTTTCGTCAACCGTCTTATTGAGTGAGAATTGATTTAACTTATTAAGAAAACTTTTTGTGGCGTTTTATCAATATCTTTTGAATTGATTTTTACTTATAAAGATTTCGTTTTGTGGTGTTTAATCAATTCAAGTTATTATCCCAATTACCTTGGTTGATATTCATGTATTGAATATGGGTCAAGTAAAGATAATTTGTTGAGGGTTTTATGATTCTGAATAATAATGTTATATTCGAAATTTTTGATAAAGTTGATTGATCACAGGTTCTACATCAGAAATCAAGATTCACATTCAAATCATAAATTGTAAATTCATAAAATTGTAATTCTTTTTTCTCATTCTAACATACAATATAATACCCAATTCTGAAATTTGGTTCGGAATTAATTTTAATATTTTAAATATGTAAAAAAACTATTTTTAAATTAATTTATTTTAATTTTTTGTTGAATTTATGAAAAAAATAGGTTATGGATAAAATTAAAACACATTCGACCACCAAAAAGGTAAAATTCTTTTATCCATTTAGAATTTGATTCCGAGTACTCCCATAGTTAATCAAGCAAAGGAATGGCGGGTGAGCT